ATGGCCATAGGCAATTAAAGCACATTAACATAATAGGAAGAGATCAGATCTCCTCTTTTGCACATCCAGTTGATTAAGCTTGAGGATGCATAGATATGTAACAAAGTTATGCCCTTACACTAATGGCAGACAAAATTTTCCTTAGGTTCCAGATTTCCTTTCTGGTGCCAGATGTGCCATATTTTTATTGTCTGTAATTGTCTGTGTTATGAAAGAGGTTGTTTCAGTCAGAAGCATAGTGACTTGCAGTATCTGAGCTGGGAGCTGTACCTGTGCTTTCTTCTTTCTCTTCCTTCCCCCAGCTTTGGGCTCTGAAGCCAGCTGTCACTGAAGAGCATATGAATTTCGAACCCCAGCAGAGTTCATGTGGTAAAAGGGGCTTTGGAAGAATGAGGGAAAGCAAGCCCTAATACTGGCCTTTGGTTGTACGCAGCTTGCTTATTTGTGTCCTGTTTTTCTTATCTGCTTGTCCTCTGTTTTCCTGCTGCAAGTCACAGATTTTGTTCCTGGTGTGTGCGACTAGCTAGCACCTAGCTGTGGCCAGGGAATGTGAACTTCTATGGTTCTACACTTTCTGAAGCTACCCTTTTGCAAACAGTGCCAGGTTTTTTGTGTATGGTTTTCCTTGTACTACTTTCCTGGCAAAATAATTAGCCAAGTGTTTTCAAAAGGATGTAGAATCACACAGTATCTTTTCACCACAAATGGGAACAGGAGTTATTTGCTTAATCTTGAATGAGCACTGTCCCTTCTTTTCCCAAGTACCCTCCAAAATCAAATTGATTTCTGTTTTTCCAAACAAGAGCTGTAAAGGCTAAAATTGAAGAAGCCCTTAGGTATATTAAAATAAGCTATGAAAATGTGCAGCGCTGCTATCTCATGGTAAAATTGTGAAATGTTAAAGCCTTCATCAGAGGAACACTAAGTCACTACATGGTGCTATGTAATAAATAAACAACTAAAAGCATTTACAAGCTTCAGAATAATTTGAAAATAATTAACATTCAGGCTTTGTAATTTGGTTTCTGCATGATTGTATCAGTCCCTTCTGAGACAAAGCAATGATTTTAGACTAAGACTAAATAAAACTAAATAACATATCTAAAACTGGCTGTGTTGTCTTGTGTAAAACATCTGTGAGAAACTAAAGTTGTTAGTAGATCAGTTTAATTTTTTTCTAAGTCTAGAAATTCACAATATCAAATTTTAAGTAAAGGAAGAAATGTTACATGAAATGAGCCCCTATGGTTTCTTAATGAACAAATAGCGTTTATGGATTAGAACTTAAGTCTTTTTAATTGTGGCTGCCAAGTCAAGAAACATTAGATAATTTTTGTGATATTCTGCTTAAGTTGTTGGTACAATAAACATATGCTACTGATCAACATATACTACTGAACAACAGTAGCATAAGATTAGAGATCCTCATTGAAAAATGTATTTTAAAAGTAGGGGAGAATGCTTGTGTTTTGAAGAAAGACTGTTCTAGTTGCCACGGAGTCAGTCTTTTTAGCCATATATTTACTGTATCCTGGTTGTCACATGTTTGAAAAGGAATACTGGTTGCCTTAGCCATGCTAGCTTCTAATTTTTGAGCTCTTACAAGCAACAGATTTCATGTCTGTTGCTAAAGAAATGCCTTCACTGCCCCTGTGCTCCAAACAGCAGCAATAGGAAGGGAGACGTTTTTACTCCTACTTTGTAATAGGTATTGAGAAATCAGGTAATACTTCAAGGACTAAATCAAAGTGTATGTGCATTGGCATGTGATAGGTTTACAAGGATAGCAATGTCTTCAGAAAGGTTATGATACATAAAGTTGCCTTTGTTTCTGTCCCTGGAGTAATCCTCAAGTTTTCAATATTTTAATATTTGAATATATTTCAATGTATGAAATAACTCTCTCGTCTCTCCAGTAACTTTTGTTGCACTGTTGAAGCCGTACCCTTTAAGTTTTTTTACTACTCATATACCATAGACTTCTGTTTTTTGATACTTACCATCATAATCTTCTGATCTTCATACAAGAGATCAGCATAAGCCTATGCAGTGCTTAAATTTAGTGTAAATACTATTTTTAAGATTTGTGCGATGGTGAGGCAGATTCTGCCCCCCTCATTTCAATTTGACAGCTTCACTTACAAATAGTGAGCACCGATCAGTAACAGTGGCAAGTTTTTCTTCATCCTTTAATCCTGCAGGTCACTCTTTTAGGGGTAGAGGCCTGCACCCCCGGTAAGTGTTCTTAATGTCACTCATGTCAGTAGGTCTCCTCACCAGTGTAGGATACATCTGCCTGAGATAACTTCAGAAACTGAAGCCTATAATAAACCTATAAACCTAGCCTATAAAGCCTATAAACCCAACTGTAGTCTTGTTGGGTTTGTGATTCATATATGCAATTACCATGAATTATTTGCATGCTTCCTTTTAATGCTCATGCAGCTCTGTGCAAGAAGGTGGTTTTATTCCAATACGTGAAATTTTCATTTCTGCAGCACATTTTTGGAGGAGTTAGCACTGCTGAAAAATTCCTTTTGGGAAATGATTTTGCTCTATTCCTTCTGTAGTTGCTCACCCACTTCTTTTCAATAAGCTGAGGATGTTCTATTGTATTGTCTTCCTTAATTACAGAAACACATTTATTTAGACTACATGGAACAGGCACGTCAGTCTAATAAAGCAAAGAGCCAGTTGCGAGGGATGCGGAGTGCTGCTAGTACTTCATGCTGTTTGTACCAGGGTTCTGCTGGAGGCAGCTCGGTCTGTTCTGGGAGAGCTGCTGTTAGAGCCGCTACTGGTGAATTTGTTTCCTGGTCACTGTTAACTCTCTGGTGGGAGCTGTTTCGGCTCTCTTTTTGTTGTCATCTGTCCTTCTCTGAAAGTTTGAATGTCTCTGATCATGCCCCAAGTCTGTTTTGCTGTTGGTGCAGAACCAGATCTGCTTTTATTTTCCTTTCCTTGCTCTCCTTGTATTGCATATCTGCCCTCCCAATCTGCAAAGTTATGAATTATTTCAATAAAAGGGTAACGGAAATATTATCATGTAAGTGTCCATTTCTTTCATTTTTTTTCTGCGCCAATTTCCTGTCATTACTTTCTTGTTTTTTCCTTTTCCTTCTTTCTTCTTCTTCTCTTCCTCCTTTTTCCCATTATACGGATTTCTGCTTTCCATCCAAGGTCTGTTTCAGTTTGAGGGACAAAGGGATTTTCTGCAAGACATTAGAGTAATGAAGGAGCATGTGCTGATATTGCTTAGTACAGCAGTTGTTTGAAGCTGTTTCCCTGAGTAAACAGTACAAAATAGAGGAATGTGGTGAACCACAGCAGTTTATTACTGGGTTTGGGTAGAAGATGGGCTTGACCCAACTTCCTGGCTATTTTCTATACAGCATTAGTCGCTTACAAGCAGGTGCTATAGGAAGCCCTAAGACTGATCAATGTGGCCTGATGGTGAATCAGGCAGTTTCAGAGTAGTAAGTCCATAACACTGAGCTGAGTGGGTCTCAGTCAGGTCCCATATTTCCATTCTCACATGCATCAATGTCTCACAGCTCAGTGCCAAGAAAAGACCTGCAACATAAGCCAGCGAGACAAGATTTTGGCTAGAAAAAGCTTTGCTGGAGAAGAGGAAAAACTTCCTCTCCAGGCGGTTTCCAAATTTACATTGAGCTCAAGTAACCCTGGGACAAGCTTAACTTTTTGCCTCCGGGAGGTTCAGTGGGCTTCCTCAGTGAGGTGCTTTCAGTTTTTCTAATCACTGTCCTTTTATGAATGGTGTTTTTTTCCAGCCTGGCACTTTGCATTGCTGTAATACTATTTTTGATGATCTTGATATACCTTTGAAAATTTTGAAGGAAGGAATAGGCCAAATGAAGCTATTTTCATGTATGGACAGAAAGTAGGGTTGGCATTTTAAAGGCAAGATGTAAGAGGTCTGAACTCAAGCTAAACAAAATAAAAAGTGTATCCAAGTGACTGATAAATATTTATGACTTCTTACATTTGGTCATGATCACTACTTTGACTTCAGAAGTGTCTTTGCTCAGGTTTTTAGAGCAGAAGTATCTTTCTGGGGCTAGTGTACTATATAGGTCACAGTTAAATGATCTTGCTTCATAGCCTCTGAATCCAAGACAGAGGAGACCACTGTGGATACTGGAAATTACACATCTATCACAGATAGATTTTATTTTTAGGAGTGATTAATTTAACTCCAGCTCTTACCATTTGATTGTACAGCCTCAAAAAAAAAAAAAAAAAAAAAAGAAAAAAACCACCATCACCACCCCCCTCCAAAAAGCTCTAATCCAACAGTTTGTTTTGTGATATATGTTGATAACCTCAGATTTCAATCTTTCCCATCATCAATCACTTGGCTAAGTGTAATACAGGAGAGGAGTATGGTGGACTCAAACCCATTTCATATTGACTGTCTAACAATATAAATGGTTTGTAGTTTCATACAGAGTGGCGAATCCTATATTCCTGTGAGTTTATGTTTTTAACTCACCCATCATGAGAGTAGCAACTTGTAACATATCTTAAGATTTTTATGTGAATTTAGCAGTGATTAAAGGCATTGAATTTAGCAGTGATTAAAGGCATTGAATTTCTTGCACCTGAGCATGTGTACTTGGGAAAAATGAGGGTAAATTTCTATGATCTCTGTTAACAATGAGTTAAGACGATCCCTGGAAAAAGTTTCATTCCCATTTCTTGCCTTTCTGCTTGGACTACTGGCAAGGCAAAACACATATATTGGGTGGTTTCAGTGATTTTTGCCTTCTGAGAGCTGAAACAAGACCACTGACTCGAAATCAGTTTGAACCTAAGGTCAGTTAAAATTTGTCATGAAAATTTCAGTAAGAGACCCATTTTTTTCTGTTCTTGACTTCACAGAAAAGAAGAGCAGCAAAAAGGCAGAAAGTGCGCAGGCTGCCAAGTTAAACAAGACTTTTGCCCCCGTCTTCCTTAAAGGCCTGACTGACCTCAAAGTAATGGATGGAAGTCAAGTGATAATGACTGTCGAGGTATCAGGTACGTAGCTATAAAACAGTATTATTTAAAAATTGTAAGTCCTGCTGCAAAGTATGTGCTTTTTTCCACTGTCCTTTTCTTTTAGCAGGTGTCTTTGCATTTGGAAATAATATTTCAAGGAACCAATTTTTAAAAAGTAAAAGCTAGGTTTGTCTAATCTGATCTTCAGGGTGGATGAACGTTGTCCAGTGTTAATGTGCTCAGACCTGTACAACTGTTTGTTTATTGGAAGAATAATAATAATTATGTTATTATTTAGTCCTGCTGTTGAACTAAAACTAAGCCTCAGTGGACTCGTAATAGCTTTTGTTGTGAACAAAACAAGACTGAATTCCTGTCAGCTGGGGTAAGATTAGAGCTGCAAAAAAGAGCAGTCCTGGTCTGAACTTTGGTAATAGAAACCCTTGATAACCACCTTCATGGGATCTAGAACTCATTCTCCTTCTCTATTGTATACTTGCTTCCCTTATTCATTTGTATTTTAACTGTAATAAGACAGACTTAGAACTATTACACATTACACAACATTGACAGTTAATGAAATTCCTGAATGTTTTGAAGATGAAATTGCAGAATCAGGTGAGAGAAAACAACCAACCTTGTTCATTTTCTTAATCAGTGTATAGTGGTTTTTTGTGTGTGTGTCTGATTTTTCTTGTTTCCTATTTTTCAGCTAACCCGCCTCCTGAAATTATCTGGCTGCACAATGGGAAAGAAATCCAGGAGACAGAAGATTTCCACTTTGAGAAGAAAGGCAATGAGTACAGTCTGTACATCCAGGAAGTATTTCCTGAAGACACAGGCAAATACACCTGTGAAGCCTGGAATGAATTAGGAGAAACTCAAACCCAGGCTACATTGACAGTGCAAGGTATAAAGTTCTTCTCCACCTTAGGAAATGCCAAACCAAAATAATTCTAATGTGCTGGAGGAGTGTCTATTTAAAGTACAGGAGTGTTTATAAGGTCTGTTGTGAAGGATGCTATGAGTTCTTAGTCTCTGCATCTGAATTAAAAAGGATATTGAGCAGAAGCAACTTTAAAAAAATCTTTTCACTCTGGAACATTATGTTACTATTTAAAAAATGCATTCCTGAGTCCTATTCCTAGGGACAGTGCAAAAATTCTGCTAAATGCAGCTTCAGATTATAACTATAAGCCTTACTTAGCTATGGACTTAATGTAAACCATTTAATGATGTTTTTCTTTCTAATTAAAGCCCTGAGTATTTGGGAAAGCTGTCTAGGAGCCAGGTATCCAGGCTTTAATATTAGCATTGTAGTGGTAGCAGGTGAGGAACACATGATTTCTGCAATCTGAGAACTAGCTGCAAAAAATTTGGCTTTGAATCTCCATGTATGATGTAAGTCAGTCCCACAGTAAACACTGAAGTACCTACAAACTTCCTGTGATTGGGCATTCACTACCTTCATGACAGGGGACTTCATCTAATCTTACTGTATGCCAACATTTTCCCATAGTCATTACTGAGAATTACTGGAAATAAATGCGAGACTTTTACTATTTTTAATGTAAAGGATCTTAACCCCGGGATTTCAGAGAGCTGTGCCTCCAGGGGTGGGTCTGTAGTCTGTTGTCACTGTCTGCTCTGAATTCAGACCTTCCCCTATTCTCTAAACTCCGCTGAGATCTAGCCTCAGGGTCAGTCTTCTATATTAAATACAATTTTATGCAATTGTTAATGATGATTTATTACATAAGCTCTGAACTGCACAGCAGTCATAGTACTGTCACTTGCCCTTAAAGCTATTCCTACCCATATTCTCTAAGGACAAATCTTCAGGATTCCTTTTAGGGCAGCTTTAAAGTCCCTTTGTTTTGCTCTTAATATAAACCTGGATCGAGCCAGTAATGTGCCAAGTAAATGATTGATTTTAGTACCCACACAAGTTACTTCCAAAATTAAAGCCTGACTTATTGTCAGATTAAAAACTTACACCCTGCAAGTTCAAAATAACTTTGCTTGTCTGTGATTGCTTTCCCTGAAATTAGTTAGCTTATTAGTTACATTCAAGGTCGGCATTTCTCCTGATCTGTAAACTGTTGTTTGTAAACTACAGAACCTCAGGATGGTATTCAGCCCTGGTTCATTAGCAAACCGAGATCAGTGACAGCAGCTCCTGGGCAAAATGTCCTTATATCCTGTGCCATTGCTGGAGATCCCTTCCCCACTGTTCACTGGTTTAAAGATGGGCAAGAAATAATGCCGGGAACAGCATGTGAAATCCTGCAAAATGAAGACATCTTCACACTAATCTTGAGGAATGTCCAGTCTCGTCATGCAGGGCAGTATGAAATTCAGCTCAGGTATGTTTGCCATGAAAAGAGCTTGTTCCCTTGGAACAATTAGTTGTATTTACCCTCAAGTTGAAATTCCCACCTGAAGAAAAGAGTTCCCTCCTATTCGCACAAAACAGTAGGGTACTAAAGGAACAAAATATTTCTGAGGGATGAAAAGAACTAATAAAACTCAAAGAGGAAAGAGGAAACACTAGAAGAATCAGAAAGAAGGACAAAGCAGTATAGAGTTTCTTTTGGGGATCCTGAAAAACACAGCTTTGTGGCAGCAGTATGGGAAGCAGTTTGGGTTTCTAGCAAGGGAAACCACAATCAGTGTCTTGATTTTGGATATTTACCATGTTTATCATGTTTGGCATCTCTCTGGATATTTGCTTTCCATGGGAACAACTTGACCAGGAACAGCCATTGCACAAGATTATGATCCATACCTTTAAGGGGAGAAAGTGTTTCCTGGCCATGTTTTAAATGTCTGAATTTTATGTGGAAGTTGTAGTCTCCTTTTTCTGATGTATCTCTGAAATGAGGCACCCTGATGCTCTGAACTTCCTGTCATTCCTACAAAATTTGGAAGAGCTGTTTTAATTTTTTTTTTTTTTCTGGTAAAATAACTGTCCTTTAAATGAAGAATCAGATTTTCTGGTTCTTTGCCTTGTAGAAAGTGCCACAGCATTTTCCACCTCCAATGGTGAAGATTGGGCGTAATTACATATCCCCCTAAGAAAACATAGTGTACAACTTTAAACTGATGTTATCATTATATGCTATTTACTGTGCATAGATGTATTGCCTTACTTGGCTAATATTTGTGGCTTTTTTTGTTAAAGTTTATTTAGGCATCATGGACATTTGAATCCATTACACTGGAAAAAAATTACCTGCTCTGCTCCACATGCTGGCTTTTTAGTCCAGGCAGACTAGTCCAGCAGGCAGTTTAGACAGATACTGCCCAGTATTAGAAGTGTTAGCACTGCAGTTCTGCACCGCTTGCACTTGCCTGGTGTATGGTGGATTTTGTCTTTCTTCATGCTATAAACAAGTTATTTTAGTTTCTTACACTTCAGTCTAGTACAAAATTTAAAACTGAATTGTCCTTTGCCTGCTTGCAAATAAATTGTGTCTTCCTAAACCAAGAAAGGAGGGCATTTCTTAATAAATTCAACCCGTTTAGCCTCTAAATAGTGAGTTTAAACTTTTATAGTTATGGTTTATTTTCCAACCAGTGTTGCGTGAATGATGGACATGTCACTGTGTAGATGCCTAGCTCTAAGGTATGTTTCCATAGACTATCACAGGCAGCCACAAACTAGCCTCAGTTATGTTTTAGTATTTAAAGTCAGATGAGGCACTCACTTTTCACCAGAAAAGGGTGCTTTAGAAAATTATAGCTGTTGTATGTCAAGATTTCCTATAATGAAGTTTTTCTACACTTAATTTCAAGATTTGTTACTAACATTTATGTAGGTAGAGCCATATGTGCCATGACCTTTTTGCATATAAGCTCTTTGGCAGATTTAGACCCTTTGTACTCTGCAACATATTGTGTGACATTCATAATGCTGATTTTTGCAGGTCATGTCTACATATATCCTTGCATCTAAGAAAAGTCTCTTTGGGGATCAGTGGCGTTTCTAACACTACCTCTGGCAGGATTGGAAATGCCACTTCACTTTCATTAAGGTCACTAACCTCTACATGGGAGAGCAGGCCAAACTGTGAGAATTGCTACCTTCTACTGGTACATTTCCACACTTCGGTTTGTGTGCCCTGGACATGGGCATCTTCTCTTACAATAGGCTGGTGGTTTCACTTGAACTGAAACCGAATGAGATATTTCAGCAAAACTTCAGGGATGAAAGAAGGAAAGAGAACAGGAAGAACAAAGGAGAGCCAAGAGGGCTGTGTGGAAGACTTTGTTGTGGCTGACCTGAGCAAGTCAACCTTAATGATCAGGTGTAGCTGGTGATCACCCAGGCCAAATTCATCACTGAAGACATTTGTCAAAGTGAAAGCCTGACAATATCATGACTCTAGAACATAACAGAATGTACACTTAGAAAATAAATTATTTCAGAAAATTAGTGGAGGAGAAGAATTGGGGGGGGGCGGGAGCGGAGAAGTAAAGTTGTAGCTAGAACACAGCAGATTACATGCTAGTTTCAGTTATTCCATAATCCTTTTACTGGAGAAATAGCTGGGGATCCCACGAAGATCAGTGCATTCATGTTGGCTTTTTCTAATCCATAATGAGTAAAGCTATGCTGCAGTTAGAGCAAGGGGAATGCTGATACCTCGTTTACCCTACTGTCATTTGTAAAATTTCAGTTACTTTTCAGGGAACAGAAAGCCACACGCTTTTAGGCAATTGCTTATATGCTATGAGTAACAGAGAAGTAACTGCCTCAGGAATATCCAAGGAGCCAAATGTCAGCTGTATAAATTCAAGTTTGCAATAGAGCTAAAATAATTTTCAGCAGTGAATAGTCTTGTCTAAATAGCTTTTGAACTGCCTGCATTTGTCTTGAATACTTGATTGAGAATTGTTTACATATTCAGAAACGGTCTTAACAGTACCTGAGGAGAGCTGCGTTTAGTGTCTTTCTCTCAAAAATCCATACAAAGTCCATTAAAAATATGGAATAACTGAGAAACCACAAGTCAATTCACTGAAGAGTTTATAGAGAAGTTGACAGTGGGCTGTTTTTAAACATAATCATTTTCTTTTCAAATAAAATGTGCAGCTCCTTTTCATGTATTAATTTTTAGAAGCATGTTGCGTAGCTGCTTTTACGGAGTCATTCCTTCTCCAACCCCTTAATTTAGTCTGGGCATGGTTTCCTACCAGTGTTAATTATTTTCCAATTTTCTTCTCCATTATTCTTAAGCTCTAAATTCTGTCCTAATACCTCCACAATTCTCCTTTTGTGTTGGCTACTCACAAATGAAAACTCTGGTCTTAAAAATTTGGGTTTAACAAAAGATCTGTTTGTCTCTTCTTAATTCTTTCTCCTTTCATCAGAGTGAGCTGACAAGGGTATGTAGTCCAGTGTGATCCTAGGGTGATCCATCAATGATTGCTGGTTGGCTTTCTGTCTTTCCCTTCCTCAGCACTATTTAGAAATGTGTTTGCTTTGTCTTTTACTATATAGCGGACTACTAAGTCTGATTTTTAAGAGGGTAGTCATTGTAGCCTCTTCTGGTCCTTGTTTTAAACCTACATAGACCTCTAATTCCTCTACACTCGCATTCTTCATTTTAATTGTCCTAATAATCATAGAATCATAGAATGCTTTGGGTTGGAAGGGACCTTTAGAGATCACCTAGCCCAAACCCCCTGCAGTGAGCAGGGACAGCTTTAACCAGATCAGTGCTCAGAGCCCCATCCAACCTGACCTTGAATGTTTCTAGGGGTAGAGCCTCCACTACCTCTCTGGGCAACCTGTGCCAGTGCTTTACCACCCTCATTGTAAAAACTTTCTTCCTTATATCCAGTCTAAATCTATTCTTCTTTAGTTTAAATCCATTATTCCTTGTCCTGTCACAACAGACCTTGCTAAAAAGAATCATAGAATCATAGAATCATTTAGGTTGGAAAAGACCTTTAAGATCATTCAGTCCAACCATTAACCTAACATTACCAAGTCCACCACTAAATCAATTAAGGGTAGAGCAGCAATTTCGTGTTTCCCGGCTTGGTGACTAGATTATTTTTAATGAAAGTAAAAACTAGAAATCATTAAGATTGGAAAGGACCTCTAAGATCATCAGTCCAACTGTCAACCCAACACCACCATGCCTACTAAACCATGTCCCAAAGTGCCACGTCTACCCATGTTTTGAACACTTCCAGGGATGGTGACTCCACCACCTCTCTGGGCAGCCTGCTCCAATGCTTGACTACCCTTTCCGTGAAGAATTTTTTCCTAATAATGTTCCATTGAGCCTGTTACTGCTCAGACCTCAAGGAATGGTGTTGCATAAATATAAAAAGAACAACAGATTCACCCACTACTGTGGTTTGTGTTGATTAATTTTATTTAGAGATTTTGATAATCTGATTCATTCATTCATCTTATAAATCAGTGGTACCTCGAATACTCTGCAATTCAGGTTATATAAAAGCAGTTGTAAGATTATATTCCATTACACCAAACAGTAAATATAGTTCTGTCTTTCTGTAAAATACAGTTTGAAAGCCTTGTTTTCTGCTGTCAACACATTGTCTGTTTTTAGGAAAGAAAACCATGACCCCCTTCCCATTCCATTCTCCCACTCAATGCTGTAAAATGCAAATAAAATGATTGGTCTTTCAGGTATAAAAAGCTTTTGGCCAAACCCTCAAGTGAGGTGAAGTAGTGCATCCTCTTTGAAGGCTGCAGAGCTGCTCTGCTTTATGTCAGCTAAAGTTGTGATCCAGTAGATTAGTTGCTTTCTTTGGGGTTAAAACTTCATGGAGTCTGGACTTTCCATTCAACTAACTTACAAAAGAGTTGCAAAACCTTATTCTGAGGCTTTGCAGTTACCTGCACTGAAGCACCAGCTATAGCTAGGGATCAACTTCTTTGCCCCTTTCAGTTCATTCTTAAAAAAATGTAATTTACTCTGCAACACTTGTTTCACACTTGATAGGCCAGTAGGAATTTTCGGTGTGTCCCCACACTGTAGTTAACAGTGCTTTTTTAGCTCTTCCTCCAGAGGGTGCTTCCTAGTGAAATGCAGACAGTAAGTCTCATCTAAGGTTCAGTGAAAATATTTGAGTAGATTCTGCCAAGAAACTAGTATTTCAAGATATTTTGAACATAAAAGCCATTCCAGGGAAAACTGATCCCACAATAGGACAGAGAGCTATTTTTAAAATTGCTTCAGGCTTTGCAGCTGGGGTTTTATTTGTTTTTGGTGGGGGTTTTTTATTATCATTCCTTGACATTTTAAAGATAAGTCCTGTGCATGGGCATTCTGCAGAACAATACTGCAAAAGTGAACACTTCCAGACACTTCTTTACAGTATAGCTACTAAGCATAGGTTTTATCCATGTCTATCATTATTCCACAATAACGGAGCCACAAAGATCTTTGTCTAGGGTTTTGATAATAAAATGCCAACACGGAGAACCTCAAGTTGCAGAATACTGTTATTGCCAAGGTTCAAAACAGCAGAGATGTGAAAGACTTGAAGTAGTGCTTGTGTACTGCAAAGCTCTATTTTTTCTAACTGCCCCTATGTATCTTGCCTTGCCTAGATTCTGAAATTGCGTAAATGTAAAAATATTTACAAAGTTTCCAGAATTATTCTTGATTGAATTTAGCATCTAAACCATCCAGTCCTCCTTAATTTTTCTTGGCCTGTTTCTCTTTTTCCATCTTGTGATATCCAAGGTGGGTCCGTGTTATTAACTTCACCTTTTTAGACTCTGCAACTGAATTCAGAAGACAAAATTATGTTCTCCCTGCTCCTAAAATCAGTAACAAAACTCACTTCGATTTCATTGGGAGCAGGACTTGCTGTGAGAAGGCTACACTTTTGAACAGGGATATGATGAATCAGACACAGACTCCAGCTTTGTATCCACCAATCTAGATTTCAGCCATTCACTTGAATCAGAAATCCTAATTAGGATCAAAAAACTACCTTGTGAATCATTTTTCCATCTAGGTACTTCTATGTCCCACTGTTGCCATAATTTGCAAGTGCTTCCCAAGGTTTTAAAAATAGAAAGAACAAAATGCTCTCCTGCTTTCTTACCCCCTCCTTTATTTTCCAAACCCTGTGAAAAATAGCTCGGTTTAGAGAGGTTTACTTTGCCTTCCTTATTTGCTTCTTTGCGTGTGTGAAGAATTTGCAGAGGGAAAGATGCATTGCAGAAATGGGTCCTGCAGAAATGCTATTATTCTTCACAGGGATCAGGACCACATTCAGTATCCCTAGATCCTCTCCTGGGAGAGTGCTGTCTCTGTTACTTTAACATCTCCTACCGGTGACATGATTCCCGTGGGCAAATATTTTTACCATACAATCATGACAGAAGCTGAGCAGTGGTGCCTCCCTATTTGATGTATGCTGTAAATTGTCTATACTTGAGCTTGCATGGCTTCTCCTACTTTGTCAGGTTTGGATTGGGTTTAAGTCCTAAAGGAAGAGTAATTGAGCTCTAGGAGACTTAGGGGGGGATCTTCTGGTAAAGCAACAGCCTGCTAACAGCTCTGTAGCACTGGTGAATGAGAAAGTACTTGAGCAGTTTCTGAGTGTGTCTGCTTTTCTTAAAAGCTTCTGAGAAGCAGGAAAAAAAATCATGAGGTTCAATAGTGGCAAAAGGGGCCAGTTTGAAATGCATTGTGTGAATACAACAGGTGTTCAGCAAACTCCTGCCATCATTTGATGCCAATCAGTATGTTGGGAGAGGTGACGTACAATTCTTTCTAATTACCTTTCCATTTGTCTTTCCTTCTTTCTATTTCTCTTGCTTCTAAATGGAGGTCACACATAAGAGGAAGTAAGAATGGCAGGTCTCCAGTGCAGGAGTGAGTTAAATACTCTCTGCATTGACTTGGATCCTCTCCTGCCATTTGGGCAGTTTCTGTTTGGGACTCAGATGTTCTCTAGTCTTTTGTATTGAAGGAAATTAGGGTTGTGGCTTTCAGTGCTGTCCTTATGGATTGCCTTCATAACAGTTGCTCGTGTTCATATTCTGACTTGTTGGATATAAAGTGTTGAAAATGTTTCCGTGGCTCCTTGTTGTTAATGGTCTTAAGGTCAAGTAAGATGTGTTCCTACCACCAGGGCCTTTACTTCAATCCAGTTACTTCGGTCAACCCCACCAATTTCTTCTTGGTGTTAAAGGCTTGATTTTCATATTAGGCTGATCCACTGTTTCATTTTCTAAAGCAACAGAAAGCAAGGGAAATCCATCTGAAAAGGTGATGGCACTGATTGCTATTACACAGACGTAACTTAGTGCTGCATCTGTGTTAATGATCTTGCCTGTTGTGTGACTTCATTGCAAGTTACAAATGGGTGAAAATATAGTTTTTTCATCCAAACAGAATCATATCTAGGAATGTATTTCCATGCACTATTTAAAAAACAGGCCAGACAATATGTTTATGGCAAACTAACAAAAAGGCACTCCTGAGTCTGTGTTTTAAACTTCAGGGCAATGTGTACTTGAAGGTGCTCTTACGTAGCAAGTCTTTTGAAAGGAGAACACAGCTGGGAAAACCCACCTCTCTTTTCCTTCCTCCCCCCAGTGCACATGTGTTTTGTTCATGTCCAGGAAACATTTTCAGTAGCAAAAATTATTTTTATTTGAAAAAGAAAAATCATCCAGGAGTTTGTAGTCCATTTACAAGCTTATTCTTAAACTGGGAAGGATGAAAGTGTTTTCACTAAGAAAACATATCTCTAGTCCTTAATCAATTCAAGTCTGTTTTTTTAATAGCAATTCAGGGGAGTGGTGGCAACAGTTACACAACTGCTGCCCTGGGGGAGTCAAATTTTGCTTTTGGCATCTCCTGTGTTAAGTGGAGAAGAGCCGTTTGGGGCTAGAAGAATGATATATATCTGCAGGAGGGAGGGAGGGAGCAGCAGGGGTGGGGGGGAGCACTTTAAATGAATTCTTTAATGGGAGCCCTTTCCAGAAGGCATCCATGGTATTCCTCTGCAAAAGGAAGAATAAGTACTCAGCACCATATATGGTGACACTTTAATGTTTTTTAATATAAACATGTACAGGCTGGAGCAATCCTTGTAGATGGGTTTTGCTGATTGGTTGGGCCGGGGGGGAGGGAAGGAAATGAGACCCTGCTTTTAATATCTTAACATTAGAATACTTAAGAGCTTGGGTTTGAATAAATAAACAGTAGGGAGAGTTGGAAAGATTTTCAACTTTGCAAAATAGCCCCTTCCTCTGCCTTGATTTTCCAGCTTTTGTATTTATTTTCCTTTAGCCTGTTTGTTTGCAGCTGTTTCATTCTGTAAATTGCTTTGATTTTTGTTCAGGGAGTGTGTTGTTCCCAGTGTAGACAGCAACAGATCAGTAAAAGCTATTTGAGATAACTTGGCTCCAAATATAAGGGGACCAAATCCACTCAGTCAACCACCACAATGCTGGGCATAGGAAAGGAGAATGCCACACTGGGTTTGAGCTACTTTACTGCAACACACAATCCCTTAGCTCAGGCAAGTTACAATTCTGGAGGGAGAAACCTCTGCTTTTCTGATTTCACTTAAATATTTCAGGAACCAAGTTGGAGAATGCAGCTGCCAGGTGTCTCTGATGCTGCGGGAGAGTTCAGCTTCCAGAGCAGAAATGCTCAGAGAGTGAGTATTTTTCCCAGGGACTTGCATGGGTGGGTTCTATTTTTTGCTCCGTTAATTCCCTGCCCTTACAGACCCAGGCTGGCTGCTGTTCAACCTAATCCCCAAATGTGACCCAACAAATTGTTTTCATCACACAGGCTAAGTACATTGTACCAAGCCAGAGTAGAGAAGATCTTTTTTGTTTGTGCCCTTATAAGGCTCCTGAAGTCATCATTGATGAAGTAAACTAATGGAGTGTGCTCCTCTAATCAACCTCCCCTTCTATAAACACATTTTGTTCCTGCTCTAAGATTGCTCCCTGACATTTTTAAACCAGCCCCTTTCCTGGCTCTCTCTTTCTTTTCTTTTTGGGATCATAGTGGGAGGGAATCAGCCAGCTCTGGAGAGCGAAGAGATGGTGGAGTTCATGGTAAACTAACATTTGGTAGAACAAGTGGCTTCAAAAAGAACGGCAGTGAAACCAGAGCAGCTGAGGAAGAACAGGAAGACGTCCGAGGTGTTCTGAAGAGGCGAGTGGAAACTCGGGAACACACAGAGGAGAGCCTGAGGCAGCAGGAAGCTGAGCAACTTGATTTCCGTGACATTTTAGGCAAGAAAGTCAGCACCAAAAGTTTTTCTGAGGAGGAACTGAAAGAAATCCCAGCTGAGCAAATGGACTTCCGAGCAAACCTGCAGCGGCAGGTCAAACCCAAGACCTTGTCAGAGGAGGAAAGGAAAGTTCATGCTCCTCAGCAGGTGGACTTCCGCTCTGTGCTGGCCAAGAAAGGCACCCCAAAAACCCCATTGCCAGAGAAGGTGCCACCTCCTAAACCAGCCATTACAGATTTCAGATCTGTGCTAGGCTCAAAGAAAAAAACACCTGCAGAGAATGGAAGCGCTAGCACCCCAGCACCAAATGCCCGCACCAATTCTGAAGCCCAGAATGTGACTCCCAATTCTCAAGCCCCTGTTGCCAAACCAACAGTGAAAAAAGAAGAGAAGAATGACAGAAACTGTGAACATGGGTGCGCAGTGGTGGATGGCGGAATAATTGGGAAAAAAGCTGAAAACAAAGCCACTGCAAGCAAACCACCAGCAAGCAAAGGAACAGCACCCTCCTTTGCAGAGAAGCTTCAGGATGCTCAAGTAGTAGATGGTGAAAAATTGGTCTTACAATGTCGGATTTCCTCTGATCCCCCTGCAGCTGTCACCTGGACTCTAGACAGCAAAACTATCAAATCATCAAAGTCCATTGTCATCTCCCGAGAAGGTAAACTAAATGAATTACAAGCCAGCTGGCTGGCACATTATTTTATCCAGCTCTTGATTAATAATATTTAGTTCATTAAAGGTAACGCAATGCTTTATTTAAGTCCTGTGCCAGTAACTGTTTCCAGATGCAACTTTCTTGTTATTTCAGTGGAGTACACAAGGAACAGTATTGTTTGACATTTCTTGCAGGTTTTCCTTTAACAGCCTGCAGATGTACTTTTTATAAAGTTGAACTTCTTGCATTTTTAAATGCTGTTTACATTGCTAATGCTGTTTAAGGAGCTGGTGCATGACGTTTATTTAAGCTGAACTTTAAGGATTTAGAACATTGAAAACAGAATAATATTATTGCTGGTTTACAATCTAATTTAATTCTTCTGTATGTTTAATATTTCAGGCTTTTTATTGCAATAAGAAATGCAGAAGCAAAGAGGGGTTGTGTTATAGAAGAAATTACTACAACTTCAGGTTCCATAGATAAGATCAGAGTTGAGAATTTATTTCCAATGTATTTAATGCCCCACCACAGATGCTTCTGTTGTCTTTACAGACATCGAAATATTTGAACCCCACTGGCCCGATGACTTTTAACCAATTTCAAAACAGTACAGACTTTAGTAAAAGTCCTCAGACAGAACACTTACTCTTGTCAAATTGAGTGATTTCTTTATATTCCACATTCTGGATAATCAAACCTACTAGACTGGTTTTGTATGAAAGTTAATACTGTATCTAGACAAAATATATTTTCCTTGGGACAAAAATAGGGTGGATAACTGATAATAAGAAAAAAGTTCTTTACTTCATATTTGTTTCATAAAACACAGGGAATTATATGGAGAATGACACTGTCCTGCACACTGTAATAAAAAAGTTCATGTTCACAGTAAGAATTATAGCTTGACACAGCTGTCTGCACTTTTAATTGTGAATCTTTCTTCATTTAATCCAGACTATTTTCAGTGTTATTAAACGAGAACCAAATGAATATGCACAATGGTTCACCACAACAAGTGAATCCTTGTGCAGTGTTCCAAGCACCGAAGCATGAGTATTCCTTTAAAGTGGATGCAGTCAGAAACAACACGGCCTTCAGATAGGGTGGGGGAAAAAACGTACCCGAGTAATACATTAAGGGGATACCAAAGCAAGTAGGTGGAGAGGGGGAGATGGTAGCAGGTGCGTTGCGTCTGGCATATGTCTGAAGTAGCATAAAAATTTTATTTATGAGTACATGATGATTTTCACCAGAGGGGACTGTATAGAGTAGGGGTAACTGTCACGTACATGAGGAAAAGTTGACTGGTGGAAATGCCATCCTTGTTAAAAGCACTGACGGGATCAGGAAGGTGGGAGACTGCAATTTAATCAGCCTTACACTGGAAGCAAGATTTCAAGGGTTTTCTTGGAGTTGCTCAGAGTGAAAAATTATGCATCTCAAAGTTTCGTGTCTCTTAAAAGTACATCAGATAGACAGCACCTCTGTATCAAAGCTTCTGAGCTATGGTGGAGCCTCCTGAAGTCCCAAAGCTTTAGTGTTGTAGTGCTGCAGAAAACTGTTTTCTTGACTGAAATAATCTGCGTAATTGACTGTTACAATCCCCTAGCTCATATTCACTTTATAAAATGGTACTGTGGAGCTGAAGATCCAGTGTAGTTGTGTTTACAGTGAAGTGATCCTCATGTGCAGAAATGCTTTACCACCTGCCTGAGCAGGGCATGTGACTTATCCCATCCAGTTTGTCTGGGCTAGGTGACAGTCTTGGTCATAACACCCCAGAGCTGGCATTTTGTCACACTTAAAGGACTTAGCAGTCCTTTCCATTGAGGTAAGGAACAAAGGTCACCACTGGGTAAAGAATCCACTGTTTCAGGACAGCTTCTTGCAGAGAGTGAAGAAGCTGTTCTTATGTTTGAGTTGTACCTGCATTATTACACTAGTATCATGCTTAGGTAGTCAGTATTATTGGTACTTCAAAGTTATGCTTTCTTTTGCACCTATTTGCAGAGGATCTTAGAAAGAACTATTACACAGGGAAGTAAATGCTATAGTTTTTTTCCTTTAATGGAAAGAAATGGAATGAGGATTAGAACTATCTTTTTTTTTAACCCTATTACATACCCTCTGGTACACTGAGGGGATGCATTGCATAATGGTCAATTTAGGTTTTGTCCTGACAGTACCTGCTAGCTTTGGCACTTGGTGAATAATGTGTTGCTGCTCTCCCACTGTGAGATGCTTTCATGCCAACTGTTAAGTAATTAACTAGGTATGCATGATACTTACTTTAAGTAAGTTCTAGTTTTCTTAGAGATTGATTATTCTCTTTTCCCCTAATTAGGAACACATAAATAGTTGAAGGAACCAAGGGAGGAGAAGGAATAATTAAAACTACAGACTAGAATTGAGAAATAACAAATTCAGGATGAATATCAGGAAATACTGTTCAATAAACTATGGATTAGTCTCACATCAAGTGTTTTGAGTGGCTTTAAACATAGAGAGCAACAATAAAACTGGATGCAATACTCAGCCACCCAATGACAACATCCCAGATTCCATCTTTTGCCCCAAATGCTGAAAAGGCAGCTTTGTCACGCCCACAGGTGTCATGTCCTTCAGCAGCAGTGCCTTTGGCCAATCTTGGAGCAGCATTTAATAGGCTCTGGAGATAATCCCCTAGAATCATTCTCAGCTGAAAGAAGGTTGAGTCTGTGGGGAAGGAGAGGAATTTAGAGCAAATGGACCTAGCTCACATTAATGGGCTTAGATCTTGCAAAGCCATTTTTTATTTCTTCAGTATGACCTTGCTCCTCTTGTGTTCAGCAACAAAATCCACTATGGAAGTGGATAGACTGGGTCTATTCTTGGCTATTTCACCAACTGGTTTTGTGCTGTCGTGTTGTTTGGTGGTGACCACTGGTTCTCGCATATAGAAAATTTATCAGAGGTGTCTCACAGAAGAACAACTTGTTCTTAGTGAGCTGGACACTGGCAAATCCTCTGTCTAGAGTGAGACATGTCTGTCTGCTTCTTACCATACTATAAGCCCATCTTAGTTAGTATGGGCCACTAGCCTGCAAACTGTTCAATGTAAGTAACACATGAACCTGCAGAATGCCATGCATTTGTCTTTTGGAAATTAAATTAACCCTCTCCATCATTGCCAGAAAGCAAAAAGAGATAGCAGTTTGTTGATCTCCTGGTGCCAAATGTATTGCAAAGACAAATACATAAAATCTGGTTTCAGGAACATGCCCAGCTGATAAAAGAAGTGGCATATTTGGCCAGGAAGGTCAGCCTTACATGTATATTTCTGTGTAACAAGTTCACAGCATAGGCAAACTAACTGGTCCCTTTATGTAGTCACTCACTGAAAGTAACTTTCCTTGGCATATTTGTCCTAGATGACAGTGAGGCCATTTACGTGCTAGAAACAACTCTATTCACATGTCTCCTCTGTGTTTGAAGAGGCTAACACTACATTGCTCTGTCCAAGGCAGTTTAGCCATTAGTGTACAAGAAAAGGGGGGGTGTTAACCCCACTTCTGTACCATCAGAGAAGCCCAAATTCAAACACCAGGATCAGAATAATCACTGATTGGTAAGGTCTTTGGCAAAGGAAAAATTAAATCCTGCTCCAAAACAGACCTTCATCTTAAGGCATATTTATGCAGTATTTGTGCTGTATTCCAGTACTTAATCTAGGGCTTGCAGTATATTCTATTATACCAGGGTTAAGTTTACATTAGCAATTAGAAGTCAGAATCTGTGCAGCATTGTACTAAATGTCACAATCACAACATATTGAAGATCAATCTAACTCCTTCCATTTTACGTGTCAACTATTAATATTGTTTTGTTTCCCTTTGAAATCGTGAACATCAATACTTGTTTCTCCATTTCTTTTAATAATTCCCCAAACAGTATTCTGTCAGTTGATTGGCATGAGCGATTTGTTGCTTAAAGTATCGTTCTTATGACAAAGTGAGCTCTTACACCATTTTTCTTTTACAAACATGTCTGACCTGGAAGGAGTTTAATAATGGTTTGATTTAATATTTTTCTTCTTTTAAACACTTGTCCGAGTGTGGTTATCTACATTCCTGGGATAGATATTAATGTGGGTTTTGCGTGTGAAGTTTCAAAATAAATGGTAACCGTAGGAAACAAACAAAAGAGGGTACTCATAAATTAGAGCATTATGCATTTATATGGGCAGGTTAGATGGAGTAGAGTTAACAGGCAGTGGATTTTAGTATGAGAGAGTTCTTTGTTTGAAGTTACAGGAGGCTTTTCGTTTGGAAAAATGTTTTTAAGGCTCTAGCAGACATTACAGTGGAGTTAGACATATAAGGACTGAGTAGAACAAGCTCCTCACACGGTGAACTCTTTAGAGCAGGAACCATTTTGTTTTACATTTGTATAGTACTTGGCACAGCAGTGCTCTGTGCTAGCATCCTGCTATGTGACTCGCTCTGGGGTAGAAAATCCAGATAGAAAATTTTTGCATGGTTACAGAAATTGTTCTAGGAGGCAACAGTGAAACGCGTTTGGAAGCTGGCATCCTTACTAGACTGGAGAACTGAGGTGCACAGTGAATATAAGTCAAAACTGGCAAACTTGCCATCTTTTAAATCAGGTTGCTCTGCCTTTTTTGGCTAGGTTTAGTACCATGTGACTATATAGATTGAAGAAGAACTACTTAATATAGGCTCAGGTAGCTTAGAAAATGCCCAGAGTTTGTACTGCTTTGTGCAAGACGGCATTTCTTTCTTCTAAGAATCTTGGCAGCATGTAGAATTGGTAATCTCGTTAGCAATAATGCCTTAACAACTTTCTTGTGACTTAACATAACTCCTAAATCTTCCTATCAGTTGTGCAAATCTGTGTCTGTCAGTCTAACTAGGATCTGCCGTGACTTTTTTGATTTCTTTTTAATTAACTTTGAGCAAGAGTTTGGTGTGTAATGAACACAAGTCTATGTACTGCTGAAA